CCCCCAGATGTGGAGTCATCCTTATTGAAGAGGGGCAGGGAGGCAAGTTGCTGGGGCCAGACAGGGGAGGTGGTCTATGGAAACCAGGAGCAGCGGGGAGGGTCTGGCCTGCAGCCAAGACCAACAGCTGCCACCCCAGACACATTGCCTCCTGCCTCCTCTGTGCCAAGTGCAACAGTCCTGGGGGCTCTGGGCATTGTCTCTGTGTGCAGTACCCTCAATCTTGAAAGGGGCAGGATGGAGGCAGTAGGGAGATGCATCTATGACCTGGCACAGGTACAGTGTTCTGTAGAGTCCCCAGGTTCTGACCCCATCCATGTGCTCCGCATTCTGAGAGACCCATAGGTCTCTGCCAGCCCCACCCCTCACCTCAGGTCAGTTTCTGATCCACCTGCTCCGTGGGGAAAGATTCCTATGGGGGCCTGCAGTCTTCATGTGGACTTTCCTCTTGGAATACCATTGGCTTTTCCTTACATAAGTTCTCTTGTTCTCAGTCCCTGGGGCTTTCTCTCTCCCCTGTCCTATGTCCCTGTCTCCACCCTTCTTTTATCTCCTCCATCTTGCTTTGCCTGTCCCCTCTTTCCTCTCCATTCCTAACATCTCTTCCAGGAAAGAGGGCCGACAACTCAGGTGTTTCCATCGCCCCACCCCTTTCTAAAATGCTTCTTGGAGCCACTGCTGACATAAAGCACTGCTTAGGGTCATCAGAGACCCCAGGGAAGCCTCTGTAATGGTTGTCAAGCCCCTGCCCCCATTTGCCCTGTGGGCTAGTTTGGAGGAGGGAAGATCTGCAGCTCAGCTTACCATGAGGCCCAGCCCCTAGCCCATCAGTGGGCCACCCCTCCTGTGCCACCTGCTGCACTGTCTGCGTGTGTCTTATGGGCCCCTGTCACATGCGTCTGGACTCTCCAGCTCCAGATTCTATCCCCCAGTAGGGGCTCCTAGATCCAGACAAAACTCCAGGCAGACACAGAGGAGCATCAGAAATGCTGTTTATTTCTCTGTGCCCCCAGGCTGGCTGGCCTCTTGGGAGGGGCAGGCTACAGATGCATGCTTGGAGAGAAAGGAAGAGAGGTCACAGGCTGAGGGAGGAAGGCTGAGAGGGGAGGAAGGCTCATCCTGGATCCTCCAGTCCTGTCTGGGATAAAGGCAAAGGGACCCCCCAAATCCCCAAGTCGTCAGAGAACACCAAAGCGCAGGAGGAGCCTCAGCAGGTCGTGAGAGCCTAAGGGCTGCGCCGGCCAGTTCCCTCCATCCTCTCCTTCTCTCCTGTGCCCTGTGGGCCTCAGGCTACCTCCAGTCAAGCCCCGACCTGTCAGCCCCCCACCTGCCTGGCCCTCGTCAGCTTGTCAGTCGCAGTGCCTGGAATGCCCCCATGAGGCTTCCCCCAGTTGGGTAGGACATCACCCTGTTAGCATGCTGCCCTCTCGTAGGGGCAGGGGCAATGCTGTTAGCAGCAATGAGCACCCCACATGGTGAGTTATGGGACTAAATTCTACCCTTGTCACTAGCTTTGAGCAGGTCTAGAAGTGGGGGTGGTGGTGTTCCAGAAGTAATTAGAAGGGGAGGTAGGAAGATGTGAAGTCGTCTATGCAGGCCTCAGGAGTTGCCAACTGCAGACCCCTGCAGCACTTATAAGAGGCGTTGGCAGGGTCAGGGGTGAGTTAGGGAAGCCCTGGGCTGTTCCTGCCCCACCCAGGTCAGGGTGGGGCTAGAAGGAGGCAAGGAAGAGGAAGAGGAGGCTCTGGCCCAGCAGGAGCAGGCCTGGGAGCTGCTGCCCAGGTGCCCCTTCTCCCACTGCTGCAGTCTCAGGGCTCCTGGCACGGCTGAGGTAGATGATGACCACATTGTCCTCGGGCCCTGATGGCTGCACCTCATTGTCAACCGTATAGCAGCCCTTGCCCTCAGCCGCTTTGCCATGGAACCTGCGTCCCAGAGCATCCTCACCACCCTCACCCGGTGTGGCCAGCGCCACGTTCACTGAGCTCTCAGCACTGCCAAGCTCATTGGTGGCCAGGCAGCTGTAGGTTCCCTCCTCCAGCTTGCCGAAGTCAGGGATGAGCAGGCTGCCATTGGCAAAGGCCTGGAAGCGTGGCCGGCTGCTGGCCGCTGGGGGACCAGGCAGGGTATGCCCGTCAGTGCCCACATTGGGGCTGGCGATCTCCACAGTGCCACCAGGTGTCTGGATATGCCAGTGAAGCTGGGGGGCTGGCTGCCCATCCACATCACAGTGGAGTGCCAGCACGAAGCCAGGCCGCAGCTCAGCACCATCCTGGCTGGGCTGGTAGCTGAGCTGCACTGAGGGCGCCGAGCAAGGCAGCGGTGGCAGGCGGCTCAGTGGAGTGCCCTTGAGCACGTGGGGTGAAGTGCAGGCGATGTTGTCCTGCTCCGGGATGGACACAGTTGTGGCCAGGGCCCATGTCTTGAGCCACACGATGCTGCAGGTACAGTCGAAGGGATTGTCGTTGATCTGCAGGTGGGACAGAGCGGTGAGTGGAGCGAAGGTGCCCTCGGCCAATGTGTGCAAGCGATTGTGGTTGAGCTGCAGTGAGCGCAGAGCATGAAGGCTGCGGAAAGCGTCTCGGGGGATGAAGGTCAGCTCGTTGCTGTCCATCTTGAGCAACTGGAGGGCACTGAGATTGTGCAGGTCACTCCAGGCAAAGTCAGAGATGAGGTTGTGGCTGAGGTCCAGGCTCTTGAGATGGCCCAGGGGGGCCAGTGCGCCGGAGGCCACCGTGCGGATCTCGTTATGAGCCAGCCACAGCGACTGCAGCAGGGGCACCTCCCGGAAGGCGCCCTCTGGCAAGCCTAGCAGCCGATTGGCTGACAGGCTCAACGTGGTCACATTGGTGGGGAAGCCCGGTGGTACGGCCTCCAGGTCACGGTATGCGCAGTCGGCGATCTGGAAGCCGTATTTCTCCCCACAGTCGCAGGGCTCTGGACAGGCCTGCCCCAGGCCCAAGAGAACCGCCCAGCAGAGCAGACGCAGCTCCCGCATTGTACCTCCTGCAGAGAAGGGCAT